TCAACGCACTATCAGACGAATTTTGCTTGGTCTCAAAACAAATAAGGCTAACGGTCCTGATGGAATTCCACCCATTATCCTCAAAAAATGTGCACCAGAATTAACACCGATTCTCTGCAAGTTGTTTATCATCTCGTACAGGTCGGGTATTTTTCCATCATGCTGGAAGACAGCTAGAGTCCAACCAATCCCCAAAAAAGGGAACAAGAACCTGCCCAACAACTACAGGCCCATTTCCCTGTTATCAGTAATCTCCAAAGTGATGGAGAAAGCCATCAATATTGAGCTTATCAAATATCTGGAGAGCTCAGGAATCATCAATGATAGACAATACGGCTTTCGCCACCGAAGATCTACTGGAGATCTACTTGCCTACGTCACCCATTTATGGCAATCTTCAATAGAAAAACACGGAGAATCTCTAGCTGTCGCGTTGGACATATCGAAAGCATTCGACCGTGTTTGGCACGAAGGACTCCTCCACAAACTACCATCATACGGCTTACCACCTCAGCTATGCCATCTCTTATCGAGTTTTCTTTCAGACAGATCGCTTCACGTGGTGGTGGACGGTGTATCGTCTGATACCATTGGCATCAATTCCGGCGTTCCACAAGGATCAATTTTGGCACCAACATCATTCCTGCTTCATATCAATGATCTGTTGGGAGTAACAAACTTGCCCCATCCACAGCTTTGCAGATGATAGTACCCTCAATATACTGTGTTCTCTTCCAGGATTCCCATTTCTTTCCAGGAAACTAAGAACTCACGGTGCAGGCAGGTCAATGCTGTCAATGAAGATCTTGCAGAAATCACAGCCTGGGGAACAAACAACCTAGTTGAATTCAACGCCACCAAAACTCAAGCCTGCATTTTCTCTAGAAAGGCGGAACTCAGTGTGCCCGATATTGTAATGTCTGGCTCCACCATCCCCACCAAGCCCACCATATCTATGTTCGGTATTTCCATCAGCAACACTCTTTCATGGGATAATCATGTCAGATCCATCGCAAAAGCTGCTTCACAAAAACTCGGATTCTTGTTCCGTGCGAAAAGCTGCTTTACACCTCAAAAGCTCCTCATGATCTACAAAGCGCAGATACGGCCTGTTCTATAATACTGTTCCCACATATGGGGTTCAGCACCAAAACATACGCTGATGCTCTTAGATTCCATCCAGAGAAGAGCAATTCGCCTGGTGGGTGACGCCACACTCACTCACTCTTTGACATCATTGGAACACCGTAGAAAGGTCGGCGACCTTTCACTTTTCTATCGATACTTCCACGGGAAATGTTCTTCGGAAATCTCTGCTATCATCCCTTCACTAGCAATACCAATCAGACGAACTAGACAAGCCCAGTCAGCACATCCTTTCGTTGTCAACCTCGGAAGATGTCGAACAGCACTTTATCAAGACTCCTTCATCCATAGAACGGCTAGGCTCTGGAATTCATTGCCTGTGGAAGTATTCCCAACAACATATAATCTCCAAAAGTTCAAAAAAAATTCCAATACCTACCTCCTGTCCCTATCCTCCCTAGGAACGCACTATGTTCTTTGAACATTATAGGGATTCCCTTTCGTGCGCTCCAAGCGATAAAATAGTTATTTATGTAATAAGGATCATAAAGACGATCATTATGGTACAAGTCGTGAATGTTATCGGGCGAGGCGTAGCCGAGTCCGATAACACGGCGTGTGCCATAATGATTGTTTATGATTCGTATTACATACAAAATTTTCTCTGGTGGCATTTATATCAATACATTCTCGAAAAATTAAAAACTGCATTTTCGACATGTCTCAATGACAACTATTTTCAAAGGAGTAAGTATTGTGTAGTTTCAAATATTAGTAGGTGAGTGAGCTGTGCTTTGCCATTATATTAATATTACAAATTGTAGTAATTGTTCTTTTACCATTTATAATAAATAGTTTTGTACATAGTTATGCATTTTGAATAAACATTTTTGCACTACATTGTTTTACCACTAACCAAACCGATTTTTTAACGCCTTAGATTGAAACTGAGTTTTTATCTTCTCCTGAAGATGCTAACATAGTTAGCGAAACACGTGTCGAGGCGTTAAAAAATCGGTTTGGTTAGTGGTGAAACAGTGTAGTGTATTATCGTGCCAAAGGTTCCAGTCTTCGATATATAAACTTTTTTGATCAAACCATTACATGTTTTCCATATAAAATTTCATTATGGTACTTAGTCCCATAATAAATTCATTATGTTACTTAGTCCCATAATGAGCTTCCTTATATGTCATCAAAATTGAGTGACATAACGTTGTCATTATGACATGCCATCAGATAAAAAAATATACCTATAGGTGAACATATCATCATTCAAATTATATCAACAACTGTAAATTGACAAACAAAGAATAATATTTGTGAAAAAAAAATGGCATGATTAATTTTATCCAATTCGCTCAGAAATAATCAGTTTTTTCACTTCATTTTTGGATTTTTGCAATTTTTTATATTGTCGGGTAGTTTATTGAATTCAATTGAGGCTGAATGAGTAAATCTTTTTTGTCCGATTATGGAGCTAGCGGCGTCAAGATGAAACAAGTTATATTGTCTAGTTTCATGATTATGAATTTCAGAATTCCGTATCAAAATAATATTCGACTCCAGTTTTTTATTTATGATATTTATTTATGATATTTTACGAGTTTCAATTCTATATATTTCATCTGAAGAATACGTATTTGTTATTTCATTCATTATAGGTATTTCCTTCTTTTAGAAAATATACTTATACCTTATTCGTGTCTATAGTCACTTCCCTTCCCAAACTATGGCATTTCAACTTTATGCGAATTTTCAATGGAACTTATTGCTATTCAACTCGAAATTTGTCTTCTGCAAATACCTGATTGTTTTTATTCATGAACTAAAGGAAATAGAAAGACTGCCAAAAGAGAAATGTTCAGCAACCGAAGGGCACAATTTGGATTTCGCTGAAATATGATAGGAACCCAGAACACATCTTCAATAAATCCAGTCATGAATATAATGGGGTCAACAAATGAAGAAAAATACCTATAATGCATATTATACGGCAATTTTTTTATATGTAACATCTCGGAGAATTGCTGCTTTTCAGGCGTGGCATCTCTAAAAATTGTCGAACATGATAAATCGAAACTGTAACATGTCGAAACTTTTTCTTGAAGAATTGGAAAAAAATATTCGAAAATATCATAACTGAATATTTCCCATGTAAGCTCATGACATAATAATATTATTTGGAAATGTATGTACGCTGATTTGGACTAAATATACTTTCCGCGGTGAATGAGGTTCACCAGATACAAATTCATCATCATTAAGAAGTGAAAATTTTCATAGTCGATTTTCTCAAAACGAAGAGTTTTGAATTATCACGCTTTTGTTCTCAACGTGCGATAAAAGGAATGCGAGAACAGAGAAGTACTTTACGACGCGCGGGCCATAATGGGCCCGCGGGCGGAAAAGTGACACTTTGTTGCCCGATAGTGCATAAAATCGTAAACTTATCATCATATTCCAATGAAAAAATCTTGGGAGGAAAATTGTACGTCTTCTAGTAACCTACAGACGATATTCGATAATAATTTTTTTTTTCTGAAATTGTTCTATCCGTCTTCGAGAGTCTTGTGCGAGCAAGGAATGACGGGGGCCTTACCTTTTAACGTGTGATCTCAAACACTTTCTTGGGCCATCAGGAAAATTTCTGCAGTCGACGGGAATCGAACCCATCACGACCGGCAAGCGAATGCGAATTAGAATATAGACACTCTGTCCGCACGGCTACCTGGCCCCTGTCATTAGAGAGTTGAAGTGTTGTCATGAACGTTAACGTAAACGTAGAAATTGGCAGCTACGCATGCGCATTTTCCAATTCTTCACGTTTGCGTTGTTAGTGGGCTTACGGGTGTACGTTATCTCACGTTCCTTCACGTATACCTTAAATATCAACGCACGTTAACCAAACTATACTCGGAATATGCCGATGAGTCAAAATTATCAAATTCGAGATCACCAACGAGTTCTGCATCAAGGGGTCCTCTAATTTTGACAGGAATAAATGTTCGAATCTAAACACACAACCAAAAATGACCAATACAAACCGAAAACAAAATGTATTATTACGTTATGATGACAGTGACGACCAAAGTGGCGACTTCAACTCAATTTAACGACAAAACGTTAACGTTATTTCTCGTACGTTAACGTCTACGTGGAGGTCTACGTATACAGTGATTACTTCAACTCTCTATTATCAATAGACCCAAGCAACTGTTATCAGGTAATTCAACTTGAGCATTTTTTGTGTCGAAACTATTCATTATTGCTCGAAACGGCTTTTATGTCCCTATCTCAACTTGTGATTTACTATCTACTGACATTTATTTGAAACAAATACAAGATGGTTCGAGATTCAGAATTCTGATGACCCTCTATCTGTTCCAATTGAAAGTTAGTAGATAGTAAATCACGAGTTGAGATAGGGACATGAAAGCCGTTTTGACCAATGATGAATAGTTTCGACTCAAAAAAATGCTGAATTTGAAAAATCTCGATTTTGAACACTTATTTATCTCCCTGAAACCATTACAGCTAGACCCCAAGTGTGCTGCATTGATGAAATCAGCTCTTCGGGGAGAATCTTGAAATGCAATAAAATAAAAGGTGTTCCATTTGAAATGACAAAGTTGTTGCTTTTTTTCGTTAGAAGAGGCAACGCCGCAGGGCTGAAAATATTTTAGAACGATGTCTACCTCGAAAATGTAGTTGACGTGTTTCAGATATTTTTGAAAAGGCATTAAGTTTGGGAAATATCGAATTTGTTCCATACTTTACGGACACAGTGTATAATGTGTCCAAATAATAATTTACGTTGCCGTTATTATTCTGAGACGTCTGATGAATATTGAACATATAATCTGGAGAATATTATTTGGAAACCAAATATTGAGAATGCAACAGATACTCACGCGAAATCATAACCATCCTTTGTCAAATCATTCTTGTAACTCAGGATCTTAGCGACACTTTCTGAATGCACCAAAATGAAAAGAGTTGTTAATACAACCACCTTCTGTAAGAGTTCGGTCATGATTGATAAAACATGCAATTAGGTACCTACCTCTAATCAGACATATGACTATTGGTTCTTCGTAATATTCACATCAAAAGTTTTTTTCACGATGATTTATGGAGATTTATATTGAATATATGAACATCTTAGGTAAAAGGTCACTTGCATCTTGTCAAGGTTCGAATAATTGCATAATAGTTTATTAGTTGGCACGGATGAATACGGAATCCAATCGTTTTTTCTTTCATGGTTCTCATAGAGAGTAATAGTTTATATTCACCTAACCAATTAGGAAACGCGTCATTTTGTGTGACTATAACGAGATCCCGCAAAACACAGTTACACGAAATGGTTTTCCTGAAGTGTAACGTCAGATATATCTCTTATGTGTCTCATATTGCATTACAATTCTTCCGACTGGGAAGGTCTTCGTATGTTTTTTTCAGCGTTTCAATGGAAGAGAGTTTGTTTCTCCCCATAGGCTAAGCATATTAGGATTCTCAGAGGAAAGTTTTGCTATAGTTTTGATTTTTTCACCCCCTATGTTTTTTAGGTCGCTGATCATGAATTTGAAGTTTGCTGGCAAAATTTGGCCCGGAACTTTGTTCTTTCGGCACTTTTTGCACAAATGTTGGCACTTTTTTCAGTTTTTGGCCTATATCTCAGAAAGAAACCGTTTTTTCGAAAAGCGTGTTATATTCAAAGTAAGAGTAAACAAAATTTCCTTCATTTTTTGTGAATTTCTTTTTTTCTGTAAGACCAACCATTCGACCGCTAGAGCGCGCCAAAAAGACATATTCCCGGCCCTAGACCTACATGAATATTGAATATAGGGAGAGTAATTGAAATAATGGAACAAACGAATGAAATGCAGTCATTATACTTACTAAAGAAGTTATCTACAGTGTACTGTCGAAAATATTATAACATGTTCTCATATTATTAAAATTATGAATATCGCTGCTGTCTTAAATTAGACTGCCATAATCATCTGGAACAAACGGATATATTATTTCTTGGATTTTTTGATAGACGGGGTGAGTAATATTTTGCACGTTTACTTTTGAGAATACTGTTGTACATACCTTCATTTTTCGAGGAAATTTCACATCCTCTTCAGTCTATTCTTCTATTCTCCATATGTTTCCAGGTGGTGGTGGTCTGTAATGATCAGAACATATATATGGGTACATTCATCTTAGTACATACATATTATGCTCCAAGAGTGTGATTGTCGTTTTTAAGGACGGAAATGCTACATACCTTCATCCTCCTTGTTCATACTATTTTCGATGGTCTCAACTACCGGGGAGAAGGTGGAGCCCAGTTCGTCCTGTACTTCAACGTCGAATGGCCCGTCATCAAGAGGATTAGTAAGATCTGCCTCGATTGTCACATGGTTGCAGGACCCCTCACAGTTGATGCACAGACTTGTGCAATCGAGTCCTGCTTTTTTGCAACTACATTTTTTTGCGCACGTCTTGATGCATCTACATGACACCAGACGCAGTAGTTCGAGAGGAGCGGGGGAATGTAGAGAAGTGATCGGTTCCAGGCCATTTGTTGCTCGTTTCCAACCCCAATCTTTGGCATTCTTCTCAACTTCTATAGCCATTGCTGCACCTGGAGATATGCCCTAGAACTGTGCTGTGTGGCTGCAACAGCTGATGGTGGTAGTGCAGCTATTTTTGATGAAGTCTTGAAAGCTGTCTTCTTATAATTAATATACCTGACGGTTTATCGACGGTTCAGTTCTTCCTGTGTAGCCGTTCACGTGGACCAGGAATCTCTCCACTGCTGCTGCAATGCTTTCTGGAGTTGCCTCAGAGTTTTTGAGCACACTCACAACATCGGCAATGTTGGGGTTTTTGGTTATCTCGTAGACAAAGACCCGTAAGGATGACCAACAGGTCGATGTCCTCTCCAACAACCACCACCTCAGTCTCAGTACGTTCAGCCAAAGACAGGGCTTCGTTGACAATGACGGTATCGGCATCTTCTGTGGCCTGTCTCCATATCATGTTTTGAGAATGTAACTTTCCTATGATCATGGAAATCAATATTCTTTTGTTGTTCGTATTGGATAGGAATTTTTCTTTCTTTATGATAGGTATCATATTTTCATCGAAGAGAATGTCTGCGAAAATCGATTTCATAGACCTCTTCAACCATTCAGCACTTTTTGTTCCACCTTTCGAACCTTCTCGATATCCATAGATAGTAACGACGTAGTCAACATACCTGTTACATATTGTAGAAAAGGATTGCTTCACTGTGTAGTAAGAATCCACCGTCGATGACATATTGCACTTTTCCGCTGAACGACTTATTTTTTATGGGTTCGAATGCTTTGTATAGAGCAGATTTCGTTCCTCAAATAGGGAGAAGGAATACGGATCCAGATCGTAGGACAAGAGAAATTTAGAATTTTATATTCAGCATTTGTCATTATACATACAAAACACGAGTTCATTGAATCATTTATGACAGTATCAGTGAATTTCAGTACACACCTAGATTCGGAATATGGCGCTCTCTAGCGGCAGAACAATTAGTCTTACAGAAAAATGTTATGTATGAAACAATTAGGAAATTTAATCTCCTTTCATTTTATACAGAATGATTTTGTCGAAAAAAATGCTTCCTTTCTGAGATATAGGCCAAAAACTGAAAAAGGTGTCAAAATTTTGGAAAAAAGTGCCAAAAAAACAAAGTTTCGGGCCAAAATTTTGCCAGCAAACTTCAAATTCATGATCAGCATCCCGAAAAACATGGGTATAGAGAAAATCAAAACTATAGCAAAACTTTCCTCTGAACCCCCTTTATTCTCCTAATATGCTTAGCCTACCAGCAGATCCAACACGATGTGCTGAGACAATTTCTGAAATCATCATGTTGGGGATGCAAACCTACATACCGAACACTGCAATGAGAACATTTTCCGATTAGGCCTGGTTCAGTAGAAACTGCTCTAGAGCTGTCGCTTCCAAATATGCAGCATTCCATCGATGGCAGAAAAATCCAGGCCCTGAGACTAGAGCAGAATATGTCGAGGCTAGAAGCATATGCAATGAGACAATGCGATCATCAAAGGATGCTCATTATGCCAAAATAAGATCAAAACCAGTGCCGGACTAGCCCCGGTGAGGTGGTGAGAAATATCTCACGGGGCCCCACTACTCACGGGGCCTCCCACTTGGGATCTATATGGTATAATAGCATAGCATAGATCGAAACACACTCTCAATATGGAAACATGTAAAAAATAGATTTTCGAATAAGTATACCGGAACCAGTAATTGCCAGAAACATGGAACAACATGTATGTACACTCATCTCCAGTGAACATGTCACGGTTGGACGGTATGGGGGCTCTCATTGCAACAATAATCAAGAGAGCTGACACCGTCCATGTGCGACATGTCCTTTGAAGACGACTGTACTTACAAATTCTTGAGAATCTCTGGCAACAGTAGTGATAACAACGTCGGCGGATTTGGGTACCTAATTATTATATTCTCTACCTTCATTAACTCTTGTTTCTTTTCTAATTGATAACGAGATCAGAATTTTGCCATCCGATACCAATTGAATGGAAGATCACAAAACCCTATTCTGTGCCACCCCTCAATCTGGACATACTCCAGTCACGTGATAATGATTCAAACTGTTTTAAGTTCAGTAAGATTCAGTAAATACCAGTACAGTATACAGTACAGTACGTACCAGTATATCACCTGACGAAGCTAATGTGTTAGCGAAACATGTCGTGTGTTTGAGAATTTTGTGGAAATCCTATCGTTTGTGAGTCCATGTTCTGTCTATATCAACTGAACAAGAAGCAATGCTATTGTCTCCGTTCAGAAGAATGCAAGCAGATTTCTTGATTTTTCTCTTCTGGTTGTTATCTTCTTTTCCAATGATTTTAATATTATTCCACTCTGCCATATGTTGTCCGTCTTCAGTAAGGATATGTTCAGCTAGTTTCGATTTATCGATGTTTCTTTTCTTTATATTGTACTTATGTTCCTTCGTCCTTACTGAAAGAGGTCTCTTGGTTTCACCTGTATAAAACTTTCCACAAACACAAGGTATACTGTAAATACAATTTTTTGACGATTGTTCTTCATTTTTCGGCTTTCTTTGAGTTAGAATTGATCTCATTGTATTTTCAGTTTTGAACACAGTTTTCACTCGAAATTAATAATAATAATAATAATAATAATAAAGCGGCTTTATTCATCATTATAATTTCTACATACAAAATAGAGAACAGTGAAATAAGAAGAACAAATGATGAAAAGGCGAAGTGTCAGCTATATAGCTGTTTTTCAACTTAACCAGGGAAGGAAGAGTAAAAGCTAATATCAAACGCAGGAGTTTTGTATTCTCTGAAGGCGATTCTGATCAGTTTTCAGGAGAGCAGGGCCATAAGCGCTATCACAATAAGACAGCTTAGACATTATCAAAGATTCGCACAAGGAAAGCTTCAAATGCTTAAAAAGCACACGTCTGTTTGGAAAGAGTTGCCTAAGTACATTAAAGGACGCTTGACAGAGAGGGCTAACATGTTTAGTGAACCTCAGCTCAGAGTCAATCCACAATCCTAGATTTTTGCTTTCCTTAGATATAGGCAGTATATCATTACCGATTCTAATTTCCATATTTTCGCGAAGAACTTCCACCTTTTTTCTTGAACCAAATAATATGATCAAAGATTTTTTTGGATTCAGACGTAGCTTGTGGGCGGTAAAGAAGTCGCCACTTACACTTACACCAACACGTTTTATATTTTCAGATATGGCGGGAATGTATGGTATTATATTTGTCGTTATATTATATTTGTCGTTAGTGAAAACTGTGTTCAAAACTAAAAATACAATGAGATCAATTCTAACTCAAAGAAAGCCGAAAAATGAAGAACAATCGTCAAAAAATTGTATTTACAGTATACCTTGTGTTTGTGGAAAGTTTTATACAGGTGAAACCAAGAGACCTCTTTCAGTAAGGACGAAGGAACATAAGTACAATATAAAGAAAAGAAACATCGATAAATCGAAACTAGCTGAACATATCCTTACTGAAGACGGACAACATATGGCAGAGTGGAATAATATT